ATGTTGCTTGTGCTTTTCTTGCATCCACCTGACCTCTTGGACTCTATACAAGCTGTTGTTTTCCTCCCCCTACTCCATTTTTCTCAATTCCCAACCTTGTTCCTGTCTCTACACTGCAAGTCCTGCTCATTTATTGACCTACCCTTACCCCTACCTTTTAAGGTGGAAGTCCTTTTTTTATTCCTCCCCATTTCTATAGCTTCCTGCACCAAACTGTACAGAGTTAAATCTTGCTTCTTCTTGCTTCTTGTTTCCATGGCACAAGTACAAGTCTCTACCAACTTGCATGGAAATTGTTTATATGTGCCTCTTTATTTATTCAGTTTAACTCCTTGATATTTAGCACAATGCCTGGTGTGGAGAAATAGTGCTTGCTAAATGACTGTTGAATGCTGTTGAAGTATGCATAGTGACTAACAGTCAAGTGCTGTCGTTAAATAGCAGTAAGTGGTGCTGAGAGCTTCCCAATGGTCTATGGATAGCTTTTCTGCATCTGCGATATGAAATTATATATTATATACAGATATTCAGGGAATCTGCAAGACTCTTTCAGGAATGGGGATGAGAAGTGGCTGCCTCATGTCTCTCTCTCCCTCCTGTAGGTCTTGGCTCATTTTACATTCAGTTCTCATTTCTTGCAACAAATGCAGAGAAAAGGATCAGAAAGAATCTCATTTGTCTAAGTGCCTGTGGGTCACATGAGTGTCAAAACTGTGTTGCTGAAGCACCCCAGTGCCCAGTCTTGGGGCTTGCAGGGCTCTTGCAGCTCAGCACTGGGCTGTGTACTTTTCAGGGAATTTACAGTCCACATGAAGCTAGGGAAGACGCAAACAGTACGGAACGACACCTTTATCACTGCTTTGCGCAATCTGTACTGCTTACATATTGGTCCCAACTTCCCATCTCCTCTCTGAGGGCTCTCCTGATCCAACCTTCCTTCCCTACACCCATCCCAAGACAGCAACTTGCTTTTTTTCTGTGCTCTTGACCTTGCACCACCAGCAGCAGTTGTTTCTGGAGGGTTTGGCTTTATGATAGCTTAGGCTTGATCTCTTTGACTAGGTTGCTGAGGTAAATGTTTCTACTTTATATTTATAGGCAAGGGAACAGAGACCAAGAGAAGCTAAATGATGTAGACAGCACAGGAAGTTATGGAATATTAGGTTTGAATATAGTTTCCCCCTTGAAGGTTCCAGAATCTCTCTGGTTGCTATGGCTATCACAGTCTTTATTCTCCCCGAGGGGGTGTTGTGTTCCTCCACTTGTTTCCCCCTCCTTTTATTGAACTTTTGTGAACTTCATACAATGTATTTTGATCATATTTAGATCCCCACTCATATCTGTAACCCCTTTACTAACCCTTCACCAAATTTCCTGTACTTGAATATATATAAATATACATATGTATGGGTGAATGTATATGTATATATATTAAGGCCTATTGAGTCGGAGTTGTATCCCCAAATGCCCCTCGATGTGGGTGGATTCAATGGAGTCTGGTTAACCTACCAAGAGTCTCACCCTTAAAGGAGACTGACTCTCCCCTTCCCAGCAGCCATCGGTTGCAAAGAGTTCCTCAGGAATAGTTGGGGATTCTTACCTACTTCCCCATGTCTATGATTCTGCCTGACTTGAGCTTATGTGAAATTCGTGTATGCAGTCACCATTGCTGTGAGTTCATATGAGTAACTGACTAGCACTCTTGTTTCTTGTGGTCATCTACCTCCTCTGGCTCTTACAACCTTTCCACCCCCTCTTCTGCAATGATCCCTGAGTCTTGGCAGGCAGAAATTCGATATAGGAGTCCTATCCAGGGAAAAGCACTCTGCAGTCTCTTATTCTCTGCATGTTGGCCGGTTGTGGTTCTGTGTGTCAATCACCGCCTGCTGTGAAAGGAAGCTTCTCTGTTGAGAGATGCATTAATCAAGGCAGGTCTGGGAAAGCTCCTCCTCCACTTGTTTTTAATAATTTTTAAAATAATTTTTTATTGTGTATGTTTAAGGTATAGAACATAATGTTATTGGGTGCAAATCACTCATTTTTAGTTTCAGCAGCCAGACCAGCTACACTTTTAGTCACAGAGCAGGAATCCCATGCAAAGGGAACCTTTATTGCCCCTCCACTTTCTAGCCCTCTACAGATTCTGGTTCTGTTTCCCAAAGGCAGGTGCTCACCAGCCCATCCTAGTTGTGATGTAACTGTTCTTTGCCCAGTTCGGTGCCCCTCTAGCCCAGAATGAGCATTCTAGGATAGCATCATGAATTACTGGCAAGTAAAAAGTGTTCATGACTTGTAAGAGGTGGTGCTGAGTGGATGTGAGGCTAAGTCCACAAGCACAAACACCCTCCTACTCTTTTACTCCATCCTCTGGCTGTCTCTACTCAAGTGACTCAGATAGATTCCTGACTGTGCTCTTTCATGATCCTGACCTGGGTCTTGGGTTAAGCCCCAGTGACTACTGGCTTCTTTTTCCCTCTTACGAAAAGGAGCAGTATTAGCTTTGCATATCTCCTTAGATACAAGATTGTGCTTTAATGCTCTGCTGCCTGTGGCCCAAAGGAAGGTGGCTTGGTGACCGGAACGACTGGGAAGGCCAGTGCTGTGTTGGCAAGGATCCACCCAATAGACCAGCAAACCAGGAAATTCCAATTCCCTTGATAAACTAGAGCTCTGGGAAGTTCTACCCTTTTCAGGAAAGCTAGCAAGGGCAGCCTCCATGTTGGGACACTACTTAGGAAAGTATGGTGTTTTGTAATTAATCTACTTACTTCCCACTAGACTATGAGCTCTTTGCTGTTGAGACAGGGTCCAGGTAGCCCAGGATGGCCCTCAGACTCATAAGCCTCCTGCCTCAGCCTCCCCAGAGTTGAGGTTATACACATGTACCATGTGGCTAGACAGCTTTATTTTAAAAAAAAAATAAGTATTATTTATTGCTTTGTGTGTGCATGGGATGCGTATGTGAGCTTGCCACAGTGCACATGTGGAGGTAGGACAACTCTGTGGAGGCGGTTGTCTCCTTCTACCTTTACTGACATTGAACTCTGGGTGTCAGGCTTTTGTACTAAGCACCTTTAGCTGCTGAGCCATCTTGTCCCCTAGTCTGAGTTCCTTATTTCACCAGGTGCTACTGTCCTGGTCCAGGTCATGACCCTGCACTTGGATAACGGCACCTCTGACGTCCACCACTGTCATCCTATCAGGAACTCTAAGCAGAGCAAGAAAGACTGCTCTTCCTGTTTGTTCAAAGCCCTGTAGAGGCTGTTATAGCCAAGATCCTTGTGAAACCTACAAGAGCCCCCTCTGTCCTTATTGGCCACCTGTCCTGGCCTCTGCCCTATTCCTAATACTTCTAGGAAAGCTTGTGCCACAACCTCACTGACATCACCTAACAGCTTTCAAGCTTCTGATTAAAGTGGCCTTCCGAATGTGGTTCACCGTGGCATCTAGCTCTCTTGAGGTGTCCCTCACAGCCTTGCCCTGATCTATTTTTTTTTGTTTCATTCAATACTTTCTAATATTATACATTATTTATTTATTTATTTATTTATTTATTTATTTATTATTTTTTGGTCTTTCGGGCTTCATAGCTTTGGTGTTAGGGTGTTTTCAAAGCAAGTTCACCTGTATAGGCTGGCCTCGAACTCACAGAGATCCACCTGCTTCTGCCTCCCAAGTGCTGGGATTAAAGGCATGTGCCACCACACCAGGCCAACGAAATTCTTTTTATTACCTTTTTCCCTGTATTAGAATGTAGAGTCCAAGAGAGAAGGATATTTTTTTCTCCTCTCTTCGGTTCACTCCGCTGATTCATCTTAAGCACTAAAGTAGTGCCTGGGAAATTTAACAGGGATTGGTAAATATGTATTGGACGAATGAGTGTGTGTTCAGCAACTCACTGGAGTATCATAAAGGTGCATGTGCCTGGGTGGTGGCGCACGCCTTCAATCCCAGCACTTGGGGAGGCAGAGGCAGACGGATCTCTGTGAGGTCAAGATCAGCCTGGTCTACACAGCAGGCCAGCTGAAGAAGCTTGGCCAATGGAAAGTGTTCAATATTGAAGGAATGGAGTGAGCGCTCCATTCTGTCTGAGGCCAACAAAGTCCCCAGGGCCAATCACTCGGTGTGTACCTTGTCTTCCCCTTCCACCATCCTAGCATTCATCTAACCGACCCTCGAGTATACAAATATTAAGCACCCACTGTGAATTCAAAAGTGCTCTTGGTGCTGTAGGGAGAGTGACTAACGCAAATGAAGCAGCAGCAAACAATACCTCCCAAAGTAATTAAGTGTAAAATTACACCGGCAGATTGTCAACGTTAATAGTTCAGCGGGAGAATCAGTGAAGCCTGAAGTCAGTTCCAAAGTCCACTAGGAGCCTGAGCTGCCCTTCTAAGCGCTCCACCTGTTGATAGCAGGGCCATGACCTGGCCAGAAAACTTGAGATCAGAAAGGCCTGCAGAGTTTCCCCAGGGTGAAGGGATGGCACGGAGGACCGCCGTGCGCGGGGAGCGGCCAGGAACCCCGGGCTCCTGAGGTTCCGAAGGACGCGTGTCTCCACGCGAGATCCAAGGCTCGGCGGGAGCCTACAGGTCAGTACCCGGCCCGGTGCCGACCCCAAGGTGTAGGTCTCGGCCCTGCGGAGGCCGAGGCTGCAGGGCGGGGGAGGTCACGAGGTCACATTCCTGCAGAGCCCAGGCGCTGGCATCCTGGGGGAGGCTCCCAGGCCGCCGGTCCGCGCCATCCTGGACTCGGGGCCGCCTGGGCTGAGCTACCCCGCAGACGTCGCCCAGAGGTACATGCACCGCGGGGCCTGGAAAGTGCGGGCCTGGGGGTGCGGAGGGAACCCCGGCACTAATTGTCCCCGCGGAGGGATCCTGTGCACGGAAGACGCGCGCTTCGACGGAGGGTGATGACGCCGTGGACGCCGGGCGGATGGCACAGCGACGTCGCGGGGGGCGGGGGCGCGCGTCGGGAAGTAGTTCCGGGTGCGCGGCCCCGGATGTTGGCTGCTCCCGCTGCCGCCGCTCTCGGCGCTGCTCGGGGCCTCGGCCGCTAGCAGCAGGCGCAGTCGGGACCTCTTGCTGGGGGCGGAGACGCACGCAGCTGCTGGGGGCTCGGCCGGGCCCTCCCGGCCTACGCAGGCTGAGGTGAGCGTGCCGCGCGCGGCGCTTGGTCAGGCCGGGGCGGCGGGCGAGGAGGCGGGGCCGGGGTATCTCCCGGGACCGAGGCAGGGGCTGCCATGGGCGAGCTGCGCTCTCTTCGCGGCCGCGGCAGGCGGGGCGGGGCCGGGCCTGGCGGGAGGGCGACCGGGCCCTCCCTTCCCACGCGGCTCTTCTCAGCTGCCGCTGCCCCTCAGCCCCGGAGCCTCGGCCCCGCGCGCCCGCCCTTCCCCCAGGTGGGGCCCAGGCACCGGGACGCGGCCCCCGGGGTCGCGGCCTTCGCGCCCCGCACCGCGCGCTCTCTTTCCCGGTGACCTGGCCCCGGGCTGGCCGCGATGCGGGGTCCTCCGGTCCGTCAGGCTCGGGGGCGCTTTGCAGCCTGGAGGGCGGGCAGTGCCGCGCTGCCTCGCGGGTACCCTTCGGGGTAGCGAGGCCCCGGGCCGGGGGCCCGCGTTCCCGCCCATCCTGTCGCCGTGTCCTTTGCTGCCATTGGGGCAAAGGCAACTGCTCCATGCGGACGTGTTGCTGTCGCGCGTGTGTGTGTGTGTGTGTGTGTGTGTGTGTGTGTGTAAAGGCAGCCGCTCCATGCGGACGTGTTGCTGTGTGTGTGTGTGTGTGTGTGTGTGTGTGTGTGTGTGTTGCATCCTGCCCACGTGGTAGGGTGTCCCGTCCCTCCCACCCCCTCCATTTTTGCAGTTGGTGAAGAGGGAGGTTAACGGGATGGTTTTTGTTGTGTTTTTCTTCTTCTCTAATTTCCTCCCGGTAGCATGGAAGGTGTTGAGATCAGTTTGCTTTGCCGAGGATGACTGTCGGTTTGATGGGAGAATCGAGAGTTGTACTCTTAGGAAATTGAGACCAGTAGGGGACATAGCAGAGCTTAGCTAGTTCATTGACATCTTTTCAATCTCCCATGAGCTCATGTTCTTTTCTCTACTGCTTAATCCTCCAAAGAGAGTAAGCGCTTGGTAAGGATGCATGGAGGTGTAGTTTTCATTCCTCTGTTTACTTTCTGTGTATTTTTGGCCTAGGGTTCTCTGCTCTGTGTTGGGGACGTGCACTCTGTTGTAGCGGGAGATTCCTGAATGACTGGAGTCGGGGAGATTGGTGGACATAGTTTCCGCCTTTCACTATGCGTACTTATTTTTGTTTTTTCCTTCTTTTTTGTTACCTGCTAAGAAAACAGGCATGGTGTGTAGGAGTGTTAGAGACATAGCTCAGTTCTTGCAAACCAGGTAGTTCCCCCAACTTCTTTCCTGATGGCTCGTGTAATCTATTTACTTTCTTTTTGTATTATGTACTGCTGGGCACTGACAGTGGTTTTGAAACGTTTTGCGTGGCTCCCCCCTCTCATATCTCCAGGTTAATGTTTCGTCTTCCTGTGTTTTGTCCTTTGAGACCACAGGTTGCTCTTTGTAGGGAACAGGTCACAGCAGCAGTGACAGAAGCCGTCCTTTTAAACTAAAGCGCATATTTATAGTTAGGTGTTTTGTGGATGAGGTCAGGAATGTTTATTTTGTCTCTGTTCAGTTTATTAGTTTAGGTGAAGTTAATCTTGCTGTTTTTGAGACAGGGTCTCACTGTATCTCTGGCTGGCCTTAAACTCAGAGATACACCTGCCTCTACCTCCCAAGGCTGAGGATTAAAGATGTGTGCTACTATGCCTGGTGAAATCTTAACTGTTTTGAATGCACTCTTTTTTTTAAAAAAATTATTTTTTTATTATTTTTTATTTTATGTGTACGAGTGTATTGCCTGCATGTACGTAAGTGCACCCTTGTCGTGCAATGCCCATGGAGGACAGAAGAGGCTGTCAGATCCCCTGGAACTGGAGTTACAGACAGTTGTTAGCTGCCATATGGGTGCTGGGATTCGAACCTGGGTCTTCTGCAAGAACAGTGTTCTTAACCACTGAGCCATCTCTCCAGCCCCTTGAATGCACTCATAATGTCAAATGGCAGCACTCTCTTTTTCTGCATTGAAGTTTTTCTTCTTGTAACCCAGACTGGCCTCTTAACTGGTGTTGAATTCTCATCCTCCTGCCTTTACCTCCAGGAATTATAGGCTTGTGTCACCTCTATAACTGGCAACACTGTGGTCTTTTTTTTTTTTTTTTTTTAACCCCGACTTGCCTCTTAACTGGGTTTTAAATCTCATCCCCCTGCCTTTTCCCCCCGGAATTATATGATTGTTTCCCCCTTTAAACTGCCAGCACTGTGGTCTTTTTTTTTTTTTTTAACCCCGACTTGCCTCTTAACTGGGTTTTAAATCTCATCCCCCTGCCTTTTCCCCCCGGAATTATATGATTGTTTCCCCCTTTAAACTGCCAGCACTGTGGTCTTTTTTTTTTTTTTTAACCCCGACTTGCCTCTTAACTGGGTTTTAAATCTCATCCCCCTGCCTTTTCCCCCCGGAATTATATGATTGTTTCCCCCTTTAAACTGCCAGCACTGTGGTCTTTTTTTTTTTTTTTAACCCCGACTTGCCTCTTAACTGGGTTTTAAATCTCATCCCCCTGCCTTTTCCCCCCGGAATTATATGATTGTTTCCCCCTTTAAACTGCCAGCACTGTGGTCTTTTTTTTTTTTTTTAACCCCGACTTGCCTCTTAACTGGGTTTTAAATCTCATCCCCCTGCCTTTTCCCCCCGGAATTATATGATTGTTTCCCCCTTTAAACTGCCAGCACTGTGGTCTTTTTTTTTTTTTTTAACTTTTTTGAAACAGGGTCTCCTTGTAGCCTCAGCTGACCTGGAACTCACTATGTAGACCAGGCTGGCCTCAATCTCATAGAGATCTGCCTGACTCTGTCTCCAGCACTAAAGATATATGCCACCGTGCCCAGCAACACTCTGGTCTTAAAATGTAGTTTTGATACTGCATTTTTCCTTCTATCTGATAGAATTGTTAGCATATTCTCCTTTTTCCTTCTATGTAGAATAAAACATACTTAAATATAGATTTTACCTGCTTTCATTATGCTAAGTATGGGTGGGGCAGTGGAAAACAGAATGTTGTTCTGATACATTCTAAGGTGCATTTTTATAGTAAGTCAGTCAGCATTTGTATACTTCTGCAGAGTACTGTGCTGTGAAGTAATCTGAAAAAATACGGGTCTCTGAAAGCTTTAACTTCTGTTGAGAAAGGAGGAGAATTCATACACAATAAACAACATCAAATGTCATTTGAGATAATGCAACCAAGGTCAACCATATTAAGTCATGTGCAGAAAATGATTTCCAAAGGTGAAGAGTTGTGTTCCAGGAGATTGAAGCGTGGATGTGCAAAGGCCAAAAAGTGGCGATTTGGGTAAGATGCCAAGTATCTGGATTGTTACAGGGAATTATTTTGGTGAATAAATGATCCTGTTTCTCAGATTGGCCAGGGTATATTGGTGGAGGATCTGTCAAGGATAGAGGATATAGTTTAGTAGGGTACCTTAGTGGGTTCTAAAGACAGTGCAATGATGTGTATTGTTCCCAAGGAAGGTTTTTATGTCAGCCTAGTGTGCTTGGAATGGGGAGACTGATTAGCGTGTTGGAGAATTTTAGGAACAGGAGGATTGTGGGAATAAAAAATGGCATTCATTGAATGTTTTCTGTACAGTAGACATTGTTGTAAGCGCTTTACATACATTTAATTTATTAAACCCTCATCTTAAGGTCTTGTAATCATGAAGGGATTTAGGGAAAGTTACTTTATGCATCTAATCACCATCACATAGTGTATAGTTAGGTGAAATAGATTTTGCAGTGATGATTGTAAAACACTTGTGAGCAGATGTATGTCAGGAGGGATGTAGCACAGGGGCTGAAAACTAAGCCAAGGCAGTTTCGAAGTGCAGAGATGGTGAATGAAAATACTAGACCAGACCAGGAGGAGGAATTTATAACCTTAGAATTTTGAAAGGAAGGATAATGTGCCAAATTTGTTTTCATAGGATTTTAGAGATTTTATGGTCTGGTGTGGTATTTTTTTCAGTATTTTCTTACTAGGTTACCTCTGGTATCATTCTTATGTCAGAACTGCCCAATATCACAAAATGAATTTGTCTTCAGAAAAGAAACTAGTGTTTAGATATTTTATACTTTTAACAGTTCTTAAACTTCTCTTATTTATTTATTTTTTTTGAAAACAGCTTTGTATGTATGTACTTGTTAGTGTTGGTATGTACATGTGTGTGCACATGTGTGCCTGTGTGTATGGAGGCTAGTGGTCCATGCTGGTTATCTTTTTTTTTTTCTTTTTTGGGTGTGGTGGCGCATGCCTTTAATCCCAGCACTTGAGAGGCAGAGGCAGGCGGATCTTTGTGAGTTCGAGGCCAGCCTGGTCTACATGGTGAGTTCCAGGACAGCTGGGGCTACGAGGAGACCGTGTCTCAAAAAGACAAAATTTTTTTTTTTTTTACTTTTTGTGCATGAGTGTATTGCCTGCTTATGTGTAAGTGCACCCGTGTTGTGCAGTGCCCACGGAGGTCAGAAGAGAGCATCAGATTCCCCTGGAACTGGAGTTATGGATGATTGTTAGCTGCCATGTGGGTGCTGGGAGCCAAACCCCAAGTCTTCTGCAAGAGCAGCCAGTGCTCTTAACTGCTGAGCCATATCTCCAGCCCCAGGCATCTTTTCTTTGATCTCTATCCATCTTTATTTTGTTTTTGTTTTGGACCAGGCTGGCCTTGAACTCACAGAGATTTGCCTGCCTCTGCCTCCTGAATACTGGGATTAACTGGATGCACCACCTGCCCTGCCACCACCATTATTTTTTGAGAAAGGGTCTCACACTGGACCCAAAGCTTTTATTTAGCTAGACAGGCTGACCAGTGAGGTTCAGGAATCCACTTGTTTTTGTTCCTACCTCCCACCACAGCTGAAGGTACAGGCTTGTGTTGTGAAAGTCTTTTACATGGTTCTGGGGATCTGAACTCATGTCCTCAGGCTTGCACATCTGAACCGTCTCTCCAGCCCCCTAAATAGCTTTTTTGAGATTAAAATTC